CTCCTTAACATCTCATAGTCCACCACAAGCCACTGAGAAGCATTCCTGTATTAGCTGTAATAAGCCTTTTAATAATTGCTGCTGTCTTTATTGACCTGTGCAAGTTATTTCTCTTTTTCAGCTTTCCTAATGATGGACAGTGACATTGCGAACACTGTCTGGATGAGGTGGGATTTTAATTTAGATCCTGGTTAATTAGAGACTTATGAATTCTTCCATTCAAACTCAGGTCATGGTGATGGTGTCTGTCACTATCTCTGCACTGATTCTGTGTACCTAGGAACGGTGTCCCATACTGCCAGTAACTCACCCATGATAACACGAGTTGTTCATAAAACATTTAATATTGCATTACTGGGTCTAATAGTTGTGCAGTCTCTGACTGCACCTTGCTGTTCCACTTTATTTAATGGATAACTTGAGGTCATGATGACTAAAATACGCGTACAAGGACATGGCTGTAGTGTCCTGATCTCTTAAAAAAAAAAAAAAAACCACCAAAAATGGATTAAGATTCTGTCATTCTATTTTTGCTCAAGGTCTGCTTAGTTTAATTCAATATGCACAATAAAGTACATTGGATTTTACTCAGAGTTAAAGTTTCCCTAAAGTTGTTATCAGTCTTACTTAAATCAGCCATATGGTTTGGATCACACTTGTTTTAACGCAGTGTTTTTCTACCTTCATCTGAAGCTTTGAATCAATAAAATCTTTTAAGGACTTGTTTTTCTCTCCATGTGATGAGAGACACAGTGGACAGGTGGGTCTTGTTTGCTTTGGCCAGTATCAAGGTATAAGGAAGAAATATTGACGTGTGAAGAGCAGGCTTTTCCAGCTCAGAAAAGGATGGGGTTCATTACGAAACCATCTGGAGTAGCTTTTGAGGTGGAGTCATTGACATGAATTACATAGAAATTAATTTGATTCTTCTCCTCTGGCACATCTGTCCCAGAGTCAGTAAACATTCCTGTTCTGTGAGAAACTGAAAATTCTGTCCCATAAGGAAAATGTAGGCAAGGCTTTTTTTTTTCTTTCCTAAAGATGAGCTAACTTTCCCTCTTTTCTAATGCCCACCTAGCAGGAGGAAAGCAAGTGCACAGCCGGTTAACTTCCCATGAGTTAAACAGAAACTGTTCTAGGTGAATGTGATTTGTTGCATGTGTCATTCATTATCTCTCTGCTTCTATGTTCTGAATGTTTCTTAATTTGCATCACTTGAAGATGGCCTTTATTATAAAAATTAACATTTCCTAAAATTGAACTTCCTCTAGTCACTGTGGCCACCAAGTTCCTCAGCTGCAGATCTGGTTGGGTTTTGTACTCTTTTCAGGGAACCCTTACCCAAAAATGCGGTTCATGGTTCTTACGCATTAAAATGATGGAGCTATTTTGAGACTGCTGCAACGGTCCATGTAACTTCATCCTCTTCCTGGTTAAATTCTTGCTTTATCATCAGAAATGAAAAAGGGTTTGATAAACTCCTCAGTGGTCCTTTATATGGCACCCTTGCAACCCTCTCATGAAAGGAAAGCTGTGCAGCAAATCCTGAAAACTGCAGGTCAACTATTCTTCAAAAGTGGTTTTAGTGTAATTTTCAAAGAATCCTGAACTTCTGCATCCCTAATGGATGAGGTTGGAGAGTCCTTCCATGATCTCCTTTAAGCTACTTAGCTAGCAGTATCAGTTGTATCCTGCTCTGCTTCCCAGATACACGATACAGAGCATGTATGTATCTCCACATTTCAGAAAAGCCAGCAAGCGGTATGTGAGAGATTTTTACCTTCAGTTAACACAGCTTGAATAACAACAAGGGAGCAGAACATGGCATAAAATCTACCCTTGAATGAAAGAAAAATATTTATTTAAGATTTAGTTATCTTCCCAGAGGTCCAATTTCATTAACACTAATGAACTCTCACTGACTCCACTGCTACAGATATTTTTGGAAAGTTTAACCTGATAGGAGTTAGTAACCTGATAGGATAGTAAAAATAACCTGAATGTCTACAATTCTGTTCAATCCAGGTCTCCCAACTGTATTCCTCTTCAGTTTCAGAAAGATTTTTGTAAATTCTGTGTCCACTTGGAGTATATGAAATACTGGGGATTTAGAGTACCAGCACCCTGCAAAGTATTTGCTTGTTTCAAGAGTCCCACTGACGCATGTGAGCCATTTCTCTCCAAAATGTCCCCAGATTCTTCTTTTTTTGTGGATTAGCATGTAAAACTATTGATGCCAACCAGCGAAAAAAGATTTTAATCAAGTGGTTTGACTGCGACAACAAAAACAAAAGTCAAGTTGTGTTGACGTGCCACTCCGGGAGCTGTTCCTCTTTTTTTTTCCCTTTTCCGCATGAGCAGTTCTAGGCCAGGTAATAAAAGCATATTTCGCCTGAAGGGCAGCTGAGGGGGATGTGAAGGTGAGGAGCAGGGCCTGTGAGAAGGAGGTGCAGCACCGGCTCTGCACCCCAGTTCACAGCCCTTGCAGCGCTGCGGGAGGCAGCAGCCCCGCACCTGCAGCGGGGCCCTACCCTGCTGGAGCCCAGGCCCGAGCTGTCTCCAGGAGCGGCCAAGACTAGAACAGAAAGGTATCAGAGGTACCTCCTCTGGGGCAGAGAGGGGACAAGCAGGGTTCAGGGGCAGCAGAGAGAACTACGCTTTCAAGTTAAAAACTCTTTTAGGGTCTTCTCCAGTACTGGAGTGTGCAAGTCAGGGCAGTTCTTACCTTTCTGAGAGCGTTTCCTTGAGCTTTCCTGGGGCAGATGGCTGAGTGAGCAGCACTGAGGGTGGATGGGGAAGCATCACCCTGGGGACCACCCCTGGGGCACAGGTCCTGGCTGTTCTGCTGCGGGGACACTTTCCACCCTGTGTGCCCAACCCCAGTGCAAACCAACAGACCTGTGTGGCCAACAGGATGACACTGCAGACCTTCATAACCAGTACACTCACTGTTGTTTGCCCTTCCCAAACTGATGCCCATTCTGGACAAGACAACAGGCTCCTGGAGTATACCAGGCTGGCTCAGGGAGCGGGGTCAGCTTCCAACCTTCAGCGTGGCTGTCTGCATCTTGAAGTTCTGGACCCCACAGGCACTACACACCCAACTGTCATGGAATCACAGAATCACAGAATGGCAAGGGTTGGAAGGGACCTCAGGAGATCATCTAGTCCAACCCTCCTGCTAGAGAAGGTTCACCTAGAGCATGTTGCACAGGACATCATCCATCTAATCACTGAGAACTGAGAAGTCACACGGGATTAGTACTGCCAGAGGTCGGGCATAATCTCTCTTGGCCAAAACCTCCTCTGTTTGATGAAAGACTAGTCTGGGTTACAACCACAAGTCAGGTGAGAAAAGGACGAGGTGCTGGGCAAGGCACCAGCAAGCACAACCTCGAGGCCCTGCCTGTCTTGAATAACTGCTCCCCGGTGGTGCTGTCCCTCCCCTGAGTATGAGCTCAGCAGTTTTATCTCTGGGATGAAACAAGTACTGGAAGGAGCCTCCAAAGTTATGTGCTGAGAAGCATCAGCACTCGGGAAAGCAGAAATCATGCAATTTCAGCAACTTCTGGGTAACATACATGCGGAAGACCGCACTCCTGACGCCGACCAATATGATCTCCAGAAGCCGTTTATTATAACTTTGCATACAGCTTTTATACTCTTCCAAGCCCCGTACACACGATCACGTATACTTTTCTAATTCGTACATACTACTATGTCTATCCGACAAGCATATAAGCCTCCAGCTCACTCATTGGTTATTTCATTGTCATCATCTTACCCTACTTGCGGTTACTGCTTCTCTACTCTAGCAACTAAGTTCCGTATACTAGCTAAGCATTTCCCCTTTAATAGCATTCTGCATACTGGCTAAGCATTTCCCCTTTAATAACATTCCAACCTTTTCAGGACCTGATGTCCTTGTTCTGCTAGGAATGTATCCACACATACGTTGGTGTGCGTGGGGTGGGAAGGCATGGAGTGTTTCTTATGTGCCACGTTTAGGGCAGCTCAGTGCTGAGCGTGGTGCAGGCTGTAAGCAAAAAGGCTATGGGATAAGCACTGAGGCAGGGACCACTCCAAGGCATACGTGGTGTGAGTGAGGCTTGTTTGGTGCAGAACATGATAGACAGAAATCAGGCCCAGGACTGCCAAGTTTTACATAACATTGCTAGTAGTCCCAGATAATGCCCATTTCTCACACTACATGGTAAAATGTGTTTCAGGTACTAAAACATTGCCTATTTTCAATGTTTTCACAGTTTTGAAGAATTTTTCCAAATGCCCAGGAGGAGGTGTTGGCATTCTATGTTTATCTGGTAAGTCTGATCTGAAATGCATTGGACCCAGCATGCATCTGCCAGGCACAAAGCGGTGCAGGCTCGGAGGGATTGCAGAACTGAAGATGCTTTACGGAGCTCAGCCAGAATCAGCGCCTCTGTGGGTTGTGGAGGACTACTCACCCTCCTTAAGGCTGCACCTAAAACCATTCCAGATCTGGTTTTCTCTTCATTGTACAGTGCCTTGGCCCACTGAGGATGAGGGAGGCCCTATTGCTTGTTGGTTAAGGCTGAGAAACACAGACACTTAGTGCCTATATGGTCTAAAAAACAGGAAGGGGCAAAAGGGACAAAAAGGCTTCCTTGGCGAAGATCTGTTCTGCAGCAAATTGTCAAACTTCACATCTCACACATTTCAGTATTGGTCTTTTTTCTAGTGTTATCCTGGCAATCTACCTGATATCTTTGGGAAGACAATAATTTCTAATTAAAGATTTCACATGACAGAGCATTCATACTAAAAAATAGTTGCACTGGCTCAAGCGCTATTAAAGAAATGTACCACTGATATAGGTACACAGCAAAGTGATCGCATTGCTTGCTTCTAAATAAGCTCAACTGCTGCGGCTGCTGAGCAAGACTGCAAAACAGGAGCGATGCGGGATAACAGCCACGGCTCGTGAGGCCGTGGATCACTGTAAGGAACTCCCCTCCTGTCTATGGTGACCGTGTAGCAGCTAAGGAGTTATGCTTTGGGGAGGTGCGCAGAGGATGTGGCAGGTCCTTTTCATAATACCTTCCAAAAAGTGTCGCTGTTACGAGTGGTTTCGATGTGCCATGATTACTTTCCAGACGTCCATCACGCAGCACCTAGTCAAAAAGAGAAAGAATTATACTAATAGTCTGCTAACAGAGTAGCAATACTGCATGGCACAGGAAGGATAGGCCTCAGAGTTTGAATATTTTCACGCAGCACTTTTAAAAAACAATTGTGAGAGTGAAAAAAAACAGAACTCGCACTGGCTCTGCCATAGCCTTCCCACATTTCCTTGGGCCTGAAGGTCTTTAAAGCTTCCTCCAGCTCCATCTTTGGAAAAAAAAGATTATTTTCTCCACCTCATAAGAAGGTGAGAGTGAGAATAAAGGATTTGTTAGGTTCTCATCAGTTATACATGGCGATGAAGTTTATATATAATCTAGGACAGTAATTTGAATATTTTTTGATTTGTAGACCCCAAAACAATGAAACAATTTCCAGATGGAAGTAGGGAATTTCAGGCTACTTGCCATATGTTGCTTTTCCTAGTTACTTTTTACAGATCAATTTGAAATCGCTGTTGTTCATAGACTGTGAACACCCTCAACTTTTTAAGAGCCTCTGTGACAAACAATAAGCATGTATTTGTTCAGAAAATATAATTTTTTTTAAATGAGACCATGATCATATTTTAGCATACCAATAAATCCTTTGATGTGTATATTTTTACAGAAGTCCCATTGAAAACAAATATTCAGGATGAGCAATGCTTTTCCATTCTCTGCCTTGCAAAAAATCACCCTTGTTTCCCCTAAAGCTCTTCTTTTTCACTGTATTCATTGTCTCTTGTAAGCTTATTAAATACCTCTTCAAAATCCATTAAGATTTCATCTAGCCTCTTACATAAATGTAGTCTAAGGTTTATGAATGAAAACATGTTTTGGCAAAAATATACAACGAAGTTTCAATTAAAAAAATAAACCCTACAAACCCCTCAAATTTCCCTTTTAACATTTTACCTGCCTAGGGTCTCTGCTCTTATGTGTGATGCTCATCAGTATTTTTTTCTTGCTTGGACAATTTCTCAGATTATTTGATTTCTTTGTCTCCTAAAATGCTCATCAACAGAAACCTGTAGAAAATAGCTCCCTGAAAGCTGACATGTATAGATTTGAGACCTGAAATGGGAAGGCATATTTGCTAAAGAAAAGACTGAAGAGATCCTCAGCCTTAACATTTATACATTCTCGTCAGTAAGGATGAATTCAATCCACCCGTTTAAATGTCCTCTTGAGTTACGGTCCACAGAACCTAAGAAAGTGGTTCTTGGATGGGATTTTGCTGCCGTATCAGTTTCCAGTGCCACAGACTGGAAAATGTTGCATGAAACAGCTCCGGGGTGTTCCATTACCTCGAACTCCCCGGGGGCCAGCTGCACCCCGCTGTACAAGACTTCTGGAAAGACGTAGTTGGTGCCAAATGTGCCGCTGAGGGAGAACCTCTCAAACCTGGTCTGCGCAGTCTCCACCGGCTGCCCGCACGTGTTCAGGTCGGTGCTCTTGCACTTGAGCAGCGTGCATATCTGCGGGGAGGAGGGCACAGAAAGGCAAAACAGCACTAAGCTTTTGACAATCAAGAGCTAGATTTGACTGTAAAAAAAGTTCCCACAGTGCAGGAACAGACAAGTGGGTTTGGGATGCTTGGGATGTACAACCCACGCTCAGCCCTACAAAACCCATTACCTGCCAATGGTACTTTATGAGAGAACCGTGAAGCCCATCAAATGCACCCAGGACATAAACTTCATCTTTGCTTTTGTTTGCCATCCGATAGATCAAATGACAGCAGAGGTCGCCTTGGCAAACCGTGTAATTTCCAGCTTTGCTCCTGAGTTCACTGAAAGTGAATATATCCCGCCGGACAGCTCCTGAAAAAGTGTCTTTTTGTCCTGGAAATTTCTCGATGCTTGTGGCAAAGGAGCTCCAGTTGACGGCAGGCGGGTAGGTGGGAGAAAGACGGGGGCGTGCGCTCAGCTCCGCTAGCAGGAGACATCCCTTCTCCGTCCCACTGTCGTAATGGTAGGCGGCGGGTCCCTCCGGCGTGAACAGCCGGCTGCCTGCCGAGGACACCCACCAGCCCTCCATCAGCCGGCACCCCAGAGCACAGCTCAGCAGGGGGGCCACCCCCCGACACCCTTACCCCCTGTGCCCCACCGACAGACTTTTTTGGTGATGCTATTTTCAGCCAACACATTACAGAGAATTTCTGAAGAATTCTAAAGTGCAGAACCACTAAAATACCCATCATGGTGTAAAAACACAACCTAAACTTCACAGGTTAAACATGACCTTCACAGGTTTTGCGCTTCACTGGATCTTGAATCTGATCCTTAAATGGCAGTCTGACACGAGATCCCTTTTTTTTTCAAGAACTTAGGTTAATTTAAATACAAATCAGAGCTGTAAGAGTGGCATATTTGCCAAAGAAGGAAACAATGGGGGTAATTATGTTTCACAGAAGGAAACCCAGGCCTGTGGCCTGAACTCAGCTCAGTCTACTTAGGGCAGGAAAAAATGTTCCTCAGTGAAGCTTTGGCTTCAGGGGAGAGTTACAGATACAGCAATGTATTCTCAGTTTACAGAAAAAAAAATGGCAGAAAATATCTATTCACATCAAACCAAAACATAAATATCTCTAATTCTTCAGCAGCCA